GCCAGACCGTGCAAAGACTAAGTTGGCAAGGTGACGATCGCTACGGTGGATTAGCACGTGACGGTCGGGATCGTCACTGCTCGTGAGAGGTTCGAATCAGGAGTTGAGTGAATATATGGCTTGGGGCCATGGTGGAATCTTATGGCAGAAGCGCCTCTTTTTGTCCTTCGAGCGCGAGTTCTCATCACTCGGCTTCTAAGCCAGAATTTCCCTTGACAAGATCAAAGGACATTCTGTGATTGCTTTCTACTCTTTCCCCCCCTTTGATCTGCGTCTATTCTCCCTCACTCTCTCCTTTTGTTATGTTTGCTATAATGGATGGATTATAGTAACTTTGTTTCTCTCACTTTGATATGTGCATGCAGTGGGCCATATTAGAGAGCTTGTTATAACATGACTGAGATTATGATTGACTGATCGATTGGGTGATCTGGCTGCTTAGAGTGCCGAACGAATGATGTATGATTAGGAAGAATTTATGGTGCTTGCTTTTGTTGTCATGTGGACTGACGGCCCCAACCCGACCGGGCGCCAACTTCTCATACCCCCGCCGCGCCCCTTCCCGTACAACGAGGAAAGGACACGTGTATGCGAGTGGGACATCCGAGAAGTCGTCGCCAAGATCGGCGGGCGCTACTACTTTCCTCCCGAAACTCGGTGTTCTGGGTTCGTCGGTGCGGGTTTTGTTATTGTTGATACGCACTGTCCGCCCAATTCGTTGGACGGCAGTAGAGCCTCGTTGGCCTAACACTCTGTGCAGCGATTGTCGCCGCCTCGAACGTTACCGAGCCAAGGGTTTCCACTACCGCACACGTGGCGAGGACGAGCATAAGGAGAGGGCTATTCGATTGAAGCCCTCCACGTCGGACTCGGAGTTGTGTAACGAGCGCCGACGAGACCTTATCCATAAATGGGATACCACGTGTGTACCCGCCCCCTTTCACGCGAAACGAAGAGCGACGGCTCGCTGGGAAGTTCAGCGATACTTTTTGGATTGAATTTCCCATAGCCGCGAGCCCCGTGCGCACCTTTCTCCCCCCTTCAACCCGCGCGGCAACGGACCTCCTTCTTACTAGAGTCGGACCAACACAGGGGGGTTCAGTTCTGTCTGTGTCCCCACACTCAATTTTTCCAAAAATCCTTGGCACACCCCATTTTCGCCGTCTTCCCGGGGCCCTTCCGCGAACCAAAACACTCCGATCGGGAAGCAGCGCAGGGAGTGAGGTTGAGCGTCACATGTACAAGCAGAGAGCATAATTGCACCAGGAATCCATCCAAATAGCGCGATACAATGAAGTAATGAGCCAATGTTCAAGCCCTCAGGCCACACCAACACAGAATCCAAACTCGCTCCTCTTTGTCTGGCACCCAATGCCCAGCCTACCCTACTCGACTATTCTACCTACAGTTGTGTTCATGCAACAGGCCCACTTCGATTCTTGAAGACCAATGGACATGATGTCAACACCATAGCCGACCTATCTTCATGCACCAGATATGTATCTCGTCACCCTCATCAGACCTTGATAACCCACACTCGCCTCCTTCCTTGAAGACCACCAGAACGCCCGCATTACCCCCTTGCGCCCAGCAGCCCAGCTATGGCTGCCAGCGCACCGCTGCCTTGCAGCGCCCCACTTCACCTCTACACGGCCCGTCAGCGCCCTGGTCGCAGTGCAGCATCAATGCAGCAGCACAGCATCGTGTCCGCATTGCCAACGCGGGCCAGCCTCCTGGATGCTGTGTGTGGCCTGGCTGGAAGCTTCCAGTAGCTTCTGGTTGGGCCTCAGTCCCTGCGCCCAGGCCCGAGACTACAGTTGAGGGCCTGGGCCCCTTTACAGTTGGGCACGGCCTGTGTATCCGGACTTGGGCTGTTTGCTGCATCTGTGCAGGGCTCCGGGGTAGGTGGGTCGACAGTACTGCTTTTGCATAAGCCAGCGGCCTGCTTCTCAATGTATTGGCCCTGCTTTGTGTGTATGTGCCCAGGCGCAACTGTCAAGGCCTGGGCCAACTGTACCGCGCAGCTTAATGAGGCTCACGCGTCTACTCAACCAACTGGCGTGCTGGAAGAGCCTGAATACCCAAGTATGAAAGTGTCGAATTTTTGGCCGCTGACGAATATTCAGGCCCGCCTTCACTTAAGGTGGGCATTCGGCTTGCTGGGGGCCTTTGCCCAGAGCATGTGATGTCTGATAGGGTCCTGTGAGGGCTCGTTCCTCGCAAAATCCCCCGGCAAGTCAAAAATGATTACATCATGAACCCACTCACGCTTCCTTCCGTATGGCCGAAGGAACCCTGACCAGCATTGATTGCTCCTATTAGGAGGATTGACTGTTAGCTTGCCTTTCCCTGCAATCCCTCTCAGATTCCTCTGTGGAAATCTGCCAAGTAAACTTATAAAACAAGGAGAGTTGAGAAGGGCCCTTGAGTTGCTTCTTGTATGTGTCCTTATGTTGCCTGTGGGTCCTGAGGACAGCCCGCAGCTTCTTGTAGTGGGCTTCTCCACCTGGTTTCCGTGTTATGCCAGTCTTTCCAGCATATGCTGCCATCCCTTAGCTATGCAACTTTTCCTCCCACCAGCCAAACTTTGACAAACTTGGAGAGGATAGTACCCTGCCTATCTTCATCCTCGGGCAATGCCTGTTTCGTTCTGTGCCATCTGCATAAGATCTCCGCCTGAATCAGTGTCCTGGTTTCTGTCCAGACCTATTCTCTTGGCGTTGATAATCCTTTAATCGTTCTACTGCATCTCTCCTTCCATATAGACCATAGCGTGACTTTCCTGATCATACCGTACCATGTCTTCTCTGAGCTGTTGAGGTCAGTCAGGATGTTAGTCCGCAGTAGAAGTTGGATGGAGTGTTAAGGGAAGGGCTTGGTGAACAGGGAGTCCCAGAGATCCGAAGCCCTGGCCCAGTATTCTGCTGCTTCTTTGCATCAGATTAGGCAGTGAAGTAAGTCTTCCGGTTCATTTTCTGAGCAACTGTGCATAGGTCGGAGCTGTTAGGATCGTTCTTCCATCTGAGAATATGGAGCCGCTGGAAGCGCTACATAGGCAATCAACCATTGGAAACTACTGATTTTGACCGGTCTGCTTGACTTGAATATCTTCCATGGAATCTGTGTGATCTGGTCTGCCTCTTGACCGATCACTTTTGCCGGTCTGCTTTTGATTATTGGTTCTGGGTCTTTCGTCTTGAGGAATAATCTGTACCCCATCTTCACCGAGTAGTTCTGGACTTCTGTATTCATGTATTTGTTCCTTCCTGATGTCCAAGCCCATTCTGCTGGGTCGAATTCCAAATCCTGTCGCTGTGTCCATCCTAAAGATTGTTTTTGGCCAGGAGCCCATCACTCTCACTTTCCTGAGAAGAAAGATGTCTAGATTTGTTATTACTAAATCCTTTTCTAGGATGGATGCCGATCCATGCGCTGATAGCGATATTGGATAGGAGCCTTGGAGGTAAAACTTGCAACAGTGTTTGAGCCTTGTTGTTTATGTGTGAATTGATAGGCCCTTGAGGGGAGCATTTCCTGGAACCGGATCCCCCATTCGCCTATTTTCCATGTTGGTGGACTCTTCAACAGATCTTTCCATCCTTCCAGAACGTTGTTGATGATGGTCTGTAGGTTCCTATCCCGTTGGTGACAGCCCTTTAGGAGGGCGGCAAGGTCAAGGTCTGTTACCCATTCCCTTTTCTCTTCATCCCATAAATGTTCAATTTTCCAGACTCCGTGTTTTATCCAGGATAGCCAACGTGTGCCTCTGGGCTTGAGGAAGAACGGGTCATCACTTTCGTCTCTCAACCAGTACCTCAGTACCTCTTCTCTCGTCTTGGACTTGCCGACTTGTTTTGGCATGATTTCCCTCCAAATCCTTAGCAGAGACGTCCAGTAAGGTGTAGGCGGTGTGTACTCCGGGGGGTTGTTTCCTTGTCGGCGGTTTCTGCGTCCTGTGTTGGGTGTCCATTCCTTATACATCACCCAGAATAAACCCGACATGTTTGTTGGTGTCAGTACCGGAGATAAACCTCTAATGCTGTCCAGAGCTAGTTTGTTCCACGCTGTGCCTGGTTTAGTAAGCAGTTTAATGATCCACTTGACCTGGAGGGCTTTGGTTTCTTGTTTGGGTTTGATGATCCTCAGCCCTCCTTTACTTGGTTTCCTCGTGATGTAATGTCATGCTATCTTAGGGATGCAGTTCACTTTATTGGGGTCACTGGACCATAGGTAGGCCCTCGCTATCCGGTTGAGTTCCTTGATTGAATTGTCTGGTACTGTCGAGATTGAAGTTCCCCCCACCTACCCATTTTATTGATTTGTTTAGTGAGCACATTCTGGGCCATTTCAGGGGCAAAGCCTTCTTTTGTCATCAGGATCCCTATGTAGCGTGTGGGTGTCTCCGGTGTCTCCCAAGTCAATGCTGCCTCTGGGACTCGGAGGTGTGGGGGCTCTTCTTCTGACAGCCACCACCCAATCGTTTTTTTCCAGTTGATCTTCATTTCCGAGGCCAGTCCGAAAGCTTCCATAGGTCTTACTAGAGCACTGAAGGATGAATCTGAGGTTCGTATGAGAACAGTGAGGTCGTTTGCGAACATGATTACTGTTGGAAACTTTAGATGGTGGGCTGATCCTGCATTGATTTCTCGCAGTCTGTGAATGGAGAGGTCTTTCCGTAGGAAGGAGGCTATTGCTTCCATACCAAAGAGGAAGATTGGGGGATGTACTTTTCTAATTTTAACAAATAGAAGATCAAGCACTTCATCTGACACATTGATATCAGACCTTTGCAAGGGCAACATGACATTTGCAGTGAATTAGCGGCAATCGTCATCCCAAAGCCAATCACAGAAACCCATATCCTGAGCCATTGCAGGTGGATTGGCACTGTTGCATCCTCCCGTATTTCAGCTAAAGAGGGGCGAAGAGAGTGGAAATCAAACAAGTCTGCTCAACTTCTGGGAAGACGACACAAAGACAAAACACGTGCACATTCTTACCAGCCTTGCTTGAATATCCCTGAAGCACTGACCATCCTCCCAGACTTCCGAGATGACTGTTCCAGCCCTGAGGAACGGCAGGAGTAGATACACCCCAAACACACACCAAGGAGAAGAGACAAAATAACCCTTTTTACAGATCGGCACAAAATTGTGACACTTGAACGTGATCTCCTCACATGCTGGTAAGAAGACAAACATTACCACGAGAGCAATACATGTACATCCCCGGTTGGATGGGAAGCCTCTCTGAATGGACGCTTACGTTGTGACCCATAGTTGGATTCTTTTTTTCTTCTTCTTTTTTTTTTCATTGTATGCCAATGTACGGTGTACATCCTGACCAAATGTTTATGAGAAAAAAGAGTTGAGAATGAACTCTGTTCCAGGGCTGCACCGGCCACCGGCCGGTTGGACCGGACCAGACCCAACCGGGCCGGTTGAAACCCTGGTGGTCCAACCAGAAATCCGATTGGGCTCAAAACTCGGTCAATTTCTTTTATTTTATTTTTTTTTATGATGGGGTTGGACAGCGCTAGTCAAGATCTCCCTGAATCCGCAGAGAAAACAGTGATCGGCTTTTTTTCATGTCGTTGGGGGGAGGGTGGAAATTCACGGGTTGGAGGGGGGCTGCATTTCAGGGGTGGGGGGTAGCCCCAAACTTTGCTCTCTCTCTCTCTCTCTCTCTCTCTCTCTCTCTCTCTCTCTCTCTCTCTCTCTCTCTCTCTCTC